CATATATTTTATTCAAAAAAAAAATCATCGCTTTCTCAAAATCATATAAAGCCATATTATAACATCGACTGAGATAAAGAATAAAATGAAATATTAAAAACACGATGTATCTCGCTGCATTGCGCGAGTACGCTTCTAGTTATATTTATAGATACACAGTGACATAGAAAACTTTCATAGACGAAGATCCCCCCCCCCCCCCCCGGAAAATTCATCGCCACCCTAGTCGAGCACCCTTCTCCGCTTTTGTACCAAGAGAAAACCACCAACACCTACCCCTACTAACCCAACTGTAAGATCCCACATTGGTTGGGGAGGAGAATAAAAATTCTTTACAAGGGGCTTGATACTTTCTCTATGAGACACTTTTTGAAACCATGAGTCCAAGTATATGGACAAAGCGGATAATATTTGGTATGATCGGCCTAGGGTGTTACAGATGGTACCAAAGTCAGGAAGCGAACTAGTGTCAGCGAGGACGTTGGACTTCCAAGAGGGGTGGACTATAAGATCCCACATTGATTAGGGATAGGAACTAAAGTGTCTTATAAGAGACTGGATGCATCCTCTATCATATGTGTTTTAAAACCGTGAGTCCATGTATATAGACAAAACAGACAACATCTTATACGATTGGCCTGAGATGTTACAGAACGAACACTCACCTTCATGTCAAAAATGGTTGGAGAGATGAGAGGTTGTTTCACTTCAAGAGGGTTGTGGGTAAAAGTTGGGTTTGAAGGGGAAGGGCAAAGAGAGGTGGTTGGAGATGGAGATGGTGATGGAGGCCATTGGAGATGAAGGTCGTGGCCTCTTGTGGCTTTTAAGCATGTGTGTGTGTGTATGTATTAAGTATTTATGTATAATATAATATTTTTAATGGAAAACAAAAATAATCAATATCCCTCTCATTTGATTAAAAAAAATTAGCTTCCCCGTCGGTAGGAGGGATAAAAATCCAAGATTTTTAGCAAATATAAGGGATAAATATGTAATAAAGGAATTTTAACCTACCATAAAATGTAATTTACTTTTAAAAATTTATTCATATAATTTGTTACTTGTTTTTTTTTAATTAAATTTAATCAATAAGGGTATTTTGGTCATTTTCTATATTTTTATGATAAATAAGGTAGTTATTAATAAATATTAAATAAGAAAACTTAATAATGGAAATTTCTTGAATGGTAACATATTAAAAAATTTAATATATTATAATAT